AAGTGCATATTTCTAGCGAATTTCAGTGGTTTTTTGCTCCTGTACAGAAGGCAACCCAACCGATTTTGACGCACGAGAAATTTTTAGCAGACGATACCTTTACTGCTACCTTTATTGCTACCTAGAACAATACAAGACACATAGAGGTGTCAGCTAGCTTTTACTCAAGAGTCCAGAAACCAAAGTGTGAATTCTAACAATAATAGGGGCTGGCAGCCGGGGTGGGATGATGAGTGAGGCATGGCTCGCAGTCTGCGCGAAACATCGACAATGGCACCCCTCCTCGCGCGCGACGGCCTGCTCACTGGCCACTCACTCCCCCGGTACAGCGCCGTCAGACCCATGCGGACGAAGAGGCACCGCCTTCCGGTTCTACGACGGTTCACACAAACTTTTTAACATACTGAAGTTTTGCCTAATGTTATTTCACATAGACGGTTTCACACAATTTTTTTCACACAAAGTACCATTTCACATTTACAACGGTTTACACATTGTTCACACAATTTTTGTGTGAACCTATTTATTAGCAGTTCCTTGCCAATTGACTCTCCAGATGGCAGCCCTAGAGTACGAAGACTACAGGGAAGACGGTAAGGATGTGCGAATCAAGGATTTTCATTTCGAATCAAATTAGATTTGAATCTAAATAAGAAGTTTCGAATCGAATAAGTTGTCTTATTAAATCGATCCGAAGTTTAAAGATTAAGAATCGAATCGAACCCGAACTGAAACTAAGAAAAAAAATCCCAAAAATGGTGTGTTTCAAAACACATTTTCTGTATAAAGAAAGAACAAAGAGCAGGATTTTTAAAAAAAATCTGATCTTGTTTCAATATAAAAACAACGCTTAGCTCTGTGCGTGCGTCTTTCAACCGGTCCCGAGCAACCGATTCGAAGAGGAACCGGGTGATTCCGTGCGTAGAGGGTCATTTTGGATGTACCAAATGTTTTTTTTTAAAGTTCAACTTTAGGGGCTAAATTTGATGTAGATGGCATACATAGTACCCCACAGTACCCCTCTGAGCGTGGCAGCACTACAAGTTGACTTTTAATTTCACCCCTATGAAATACGGCGGAATTTACAGAAATAATGACGGAATGTACAGATTACGGAATTTACAAAGCGAAGTGTTTAGTCTCCTGACCCGCTGGGTTACAAGATAGGTAAAAATTGTTGACGGTGTCATTTTGAGCATCCCAAATTGCGTTTTTCAGCGAAGGTTGTGGGAATTTTCTCCCTCAGGTGGAGGAGCTACGGCCCAAAACGGAATTTACATCTATTTTTACACCCTTACCGTTTTGAACAATTCTGACGGCCTGGAAGCGTCGTTTGACCGACCCAGGTCCCGCGGGCACGGGCTTCTGGAAGCGTTTCTTATGTTCTTTCGATCCCAAGTGGTCGCGAGTTTCTAAAATGAAAAGGAACCCCAGTAGACCGTCAGTTGTGAAAGCAGCATAGGTCACATGGTCACACGGTGGACATTTTCCCATAGGCGGTTTCGGGTTTAACAAGTGATGATACAAAGGTTACCTTCCGTAATTTTGTGAAGAATAAGTCAGGGAAGAGAGTGAAATAACCAGTTTTCTTTTGATGTGGCTGAGTCATATGCTACAGCATGACAATGTTGTCTTATAGGTGTTGGTGACCATGACGGAACTTACAAAACGACACTTTAGCAGCTTACGAAACCTAGAAAAACAAAAGTTAGATTGTCTTATCCACATGAGGACATGGTCTTCGTTTAGTAAAACAAATTTGAATTGCCCAAGCTACGAAATCAACCTTTGTTCAGGCGCAAGGCCCCGGTGACCTGAAATGACCCCCTACGCACGGAATCACCCAACCAACGTCTACGTTTCAAAATTCCTAATATTCCGGGTCGAAGCAAAGATATCCGTCCCCGAATCGAATTACCCCTGACGTTTCGAATCGAATAAGTTGTCTTAGTAGTAGTCTTGATGGCTTGTGGCGTTGGTGGCTAGTGGCCTCGTGCCCCTTGAAACCCTTCGAAATACATGTGTGTAAACTGGCATTGTAGGTAAAAAGAAATTTGTGTGAAAAAATTTGTGTGAAACTGTTTAAGCGAAATTACATTAGGCGAAACTTCAATGTGTGAAAAAATTTGTGTGAACCGTCGTGTTACCCCGCCTTCCTCACGAGGCGAAGGAGAAGGGGCAATGTAAATACTTTTAATATTTCTACAATGACACATCCTAAGGAATATAATTTTTGTTCATACATGTTCTCACTCTTATTTGCAGTTTTAAATACAAAACAGACATGAGAGCACACTGCTACAACTAGCACACACGACAATACCAAACAAATATCATCGAAAGAAAACCAAACGAGTATCATCTGCTTTCATTAACGTTCGTTGAATGAGATTTTTTTGAAAGGTTTTGATCAGGTGCGTCGAATGGTGCCCCAAGCAATCCGATCGAACGACTCAAACACTTTCGAAAAGCAAGGACATGTTGCATTTAGGGGCTAAAAACGGGATTATACGCCCCTGGAAAATAGGCAATGCGTCGGATCGTCATGTAATGTTCATTATCGAGTAGAATGCACTTTTTTGAAAAGCTCGCCGTTTTGCAATTGGAAATCGGTCAAAGACTCTCGAAACAGCATCGAATTTAGTAAACCAGTCCATTTTCATTTTTCTTTAAAGTTCAGGTGCGTTGATGGACCCCTAAAAATGGTCCAAATATAAAGATATTTGTATCAAAATTCATGATTTTACACCTTTTTTCAGAATCTGGACGGCGCTCCTCAATTTTTGAAACCTCTAAAAAAAGTGGGCCACCCTAACGCAACGTCTGTACTGACGGCGGCGTGAGCATCGCTTCAAGCTCTCCCTTTGCCGTTGCCACCCCCTCAACCCGCATAGCATCCCAAAGTCTGTTACGACAGTTTTTACTTGCATTGAAATCGTTATTATTTATTTCGTCTTGACAATTCTGTACAGCTAGCGAATTACACTTGAAGTGCAGAAACGCGGATGTAAAATGATAAAATGCCGATTTAAGGAGAGTATGTATAGAGCCTGCCCTGCGCACAGGAGGCGCTGTCTCGTACGGTACGCTCTGCCCGCGCGTGGTTCTGGGGAATGAAGGTTTACGCGGGGCTGGCCGCTGTGTCTGTGACGCTGCCGCACGCAGCCACCCTCAAGCCCGTGCCGGCCGTGTGGCCCACTCCCACCGGCCTCGCCGAACCCTTGCTGGCGCTCGCCTTCACCATCGTCAGCGTCCAGTGCTGCATCGGGTACTCTGAGTTCCTCAACCTCCAGCTGGTCGCATCCATCTCCAGCACCGGGCTGTACCACGTCCTGGCTGTCCGCTTCTCACAGGCATCGGGGCAGGTGTGTGGCCCGAAGTCTCTCCCGTTCTAGCACACGACATGTCTAGTACAATTTTGGACGAGACTTCCCGTTGCATTTTTTTAAGATCTTTCGAACAAGTATGATCATATTGGATCCACAGGCAATACATATTCTCGTAAAGATTACTTTTTAGTGTTTTTGAGCTTTTGCTGAAATGTGTAAAGTTTCGCCCTGGCAACATTTTTCGTCCGATCACAAAGTTATGTATACCAAAAAATTGCATTTTTTGAGCCCTTTCCGTTTATGTTAAGATCTGGGACCTTTGTGCAAACAATAAACCCTGAAATCCAATTTTTAGTGTTTTGCACTTTTTTTAGCGTTAAAACAAGTGCCCGGGCTTAACCAAGATGTTAAGCCACATCGCCTAGACTTTGCAGGGAAATAAAGGGACATATTCCGCACCCATCGCGAGATAGCCGCATCCTGGGCGATCCATGGTTTGGACCCTGTAGGGCCAAAAGTGCCATTTTTAGGGGTTCACAAGAACCCCTATTGTCCGAGGTCCGTGGATTCCTTCCCCCCCCCCTCTTCGATTTTCAAATAAACAACGCTAAACTATTTCAACCATGAAAAAAACGAAAATTCCAAATTTTTTCGAAAATTCATCGTGGAAATTTTCCGTAAACGCGAAAAACATAAATTTGCAACAATCGAAAACGAGAACCGTTCATGATATGAAAAAATGGTTCAAATAAAAAACGTGCCACTCCTCAAACCTAAACCTCCTGGCTCATCAAAGTAACAAGAAATCGTCTGTGTTCTAAGCAAATGGTTAAAACATGAAAAAACAATCTCCATGGCAACGGCATGGTCCCATCGTGCCACCCGTCAAAATTTAAAGTCGCCGATAAAGAGAAATCAAAACGCCGTGAAATTCGAAAATGCCAATGCTAACGCATTGCACGGGGTCCCGACGTTGGAACATCTTTAAAGTCAGTCACTACACTCTAAATGTAGGGTGCCCAGAAACTGGGCGCCTTTGTCGCCCGCCCCTCTTTTTAGGGTGCCAAATGTCGCCCAGTTCCTGGGCACCTTTGTCACCCAGTCTCGGGGTGGACAAA